TTTGCTTTACTGTGTATCTCTTCTACTTGAATGTAAATCCCCATAAACACAGGAACCTAATTTTTCTTGTTCCTCATTATATCTAAACCCTTAGAATGATGCTGGGAATGTGGCAGGTGCTCAATAAGTATGCATTGAATGCGTGGTCAAATTAATTTAAGCCTCATATTAGAAGGCTCCCTGTGGTCAGGAAACTGTGGGAAGGTGGCGATCCTTGACTCCTCCCATTCTTTGAGAGCTGTTTCTGTCCCTGTGTATGACAGCTAGCAGGTTCTAGCCTTGGTTTAGGTTTGAGTGATTTTTGCTGTCTTATGTGATGGTCTGTATATTCTACAGTTTCTATACTGAACATACATTTGCGTTGTACTATGGAAAAATTGTTTTCTAGTCCTTTACAAGTCATCATAATAAAGAAGGGAGGAAGGCTAGAAAGAAAATTGTAAAAGTGATGGGTTTGCAACAGGAAAACTTAAACAGGCTAACTGCTGTGTAGGTGACTTGCTGACAGGTTGGGGGCCAGAAGGAGGGACAAGGAGGGGAGAGGAAGACAGGGGTCGGGGATAATACCACCGCTGCCAGTGGGAGATGGGCCAGTGCGAGCCTGGCCTAACAGTGCCCCACATGGGCACCTCATGTGCCCAGCCTTGGTCACTCTCTGCATCCCAGCCTGTGGTGGATGGACTTTCTCAGCATGTCCTTTTTGGACTCTGCCTCTCAGGGGTCCCTTCCTGGAGACTTACTTGTGACTGAGTAACCTTGTCTTTCAGCCTGCAGCAGAGAAGTCGCCTGGAGCCTACTTCCTTCCTGAGTTTGCACTGTCCCCACAGGGAAGTTTCCTTGAAGACACAACAGGGGAGCAGTTCCTCACATATCGCTATGATGACCAGGTAAGAGCACTGCGAAAGGACTTACCCTTGGCTTTGCCGTATGGCAGCGGGCAGGACACTGTGTCTTAAAACACCTCTAAATTAACCATATTGTCCTCCACACAGTGCTTATACAGTAGCCGCTTGATTCTCTCACGGGATCCCAAAGTCCCTAAACAGCCCCCGCTGCACACAACTTCCTGCGCCATGTGCGACTTTTGTTTTGGTTGGAGGATTTGCTTGAGAATCACTTATTTTTCCTTATTTCTATGTCAGAAATATCGGATGGGTTCATTCATTTTAGCAACCACCGAACTTAGTATTTCATGCTGAAATGATCCACAAGTTCTTGTTCTGATTCAGCATCGCTTCCCTGCCCTCTTGGCATTTACTCCAGTTTCCTTCGGCTTCACAGGCACTTTTCTTTTCCAAGCCTGTTTTCCAGAAAGGAACAAAGTGTGCATGCCTACATGTGTGTGCATGTGTGTGTGTCTCTGTGTTTAAATCATTTTGCGAAGGCTGGGCTTGGCTGATGCCTTAGCAGCATTTAAGATTATACACGCCTTTGAGGTTACTTACAACCCATTGAAACAGAGAATGCTCAGCTGGGCCAAATTCAGAGGTTTCTAGCTGAGGAGCCCGGATTGCTGAGGCCCTGCAGCAGACCAGGGTGGGATGTAAGCCCACGTGGGCCCTTAATGGATCCAGCAGATCTTGGCGCCTACAGGCCCAAGTGGAGATCAGGAGCTGGGCATGATTACCTTGTCATTGCCTGTGACAGTGTGGGAGGAGATGGCCCAGCAATTGAGGCCAGCTGTGCTGCCCTCAGCTGTGCAGCGCAAGGCCAGCACATTCTGTTTTGATTTGGAGAAGGCCTAGTTGGGGCAGCTGACAGCACTCGCAAGAGCAGCCGAGCCTGCCAGCCCGGGTCGATGGGGATTTGACTGCAGTGGAAGGAGCCCACTCTGGGGCTGGCTGGAGGAGGACTAGGGCACAGCAGGGCACAGCAGCTGATGAGGACGGATCTCGGGGAACGGGTCAGTGGGGGTGTTGCTACCCAGGCCGGAGTCCTTGCTCTGAAGCAGGCACTTCACCTCACCTGTTGTCCCAGTCATGCTCCTCATCATGGAGACACAACACCTGCCCCCCACAACTTAGAAGGGTAGATGCTGATGAGGACGGATCTCGGGGAACGGGTCAGTGGGGGTGTTGCTACCCAGGCCGGAGTCCTTGCTCTGAAGCAGGCACTTCACCTCACCTGTTGTCCCAGTCATGCTCCTCATCATGGAGACACAACACCTGCCCCCCACAACTTTATCTCGGTTTGTGCTTACATTGTGAAGCCACATTGGAGAGAGACAGAGCAAGGGTAGAGCAGAGGAAAGCTGCTCCAGTCCCCCAGGCCAGAAAGTAGAGATGGGAGGAGCGGGAGAAAGACACGCCCTTCAGGTCATGCCTGGAAGGACCTGCCTCTCCACGCCAGACCCTATCTTCTTCTATCAAATCAGCTATGGTGACCCCCTGGTCCAATTACCTTTCAAAGACTCCAACTTCAGTGTGTGGGACCCCTAGGAGACATCTAGTATAAAGCTTAATGCCTGCCTTGGCATGTTTATCTCTGTAGCTAGGGCTGGGGGAGGGGCAGAGCTGTGATGGAGCAGACTACCCTGTAGGCGTGGGTGAGATGATTCCAATCTCCAGTCATTCTTCCAAGTGACTTCAGAAATGACTGCATACATAGTTACATGGGTAGCTGTGGGGTGAACATTAATTTTTTCCATAATTTTATTGAGAAATAGCAATGAGACAGTTTCAAATCAAATTGGTAGGACAGTTTCAATAATTAACACATTGCATACTCTCTTCCTAGTGGTTATTTGCTGTACAAGTTGCAGATGTAACTCAGCAGTGTCCCAAATTTTCTGATCAAGGAGATTATGGGGCCAAAGAGGAAAGTGATCGATGATGTAGGGTGTGCCTAAGGAGAATCACATGGAGAGAAAACATTCTCTCAGGCTTTCACAGAGAGCACATTGGCCAAGCAATGGCTGTGACTCATCCACAGGGTAACACTGACAAAGGATCTACAAACTTAAGATACAGTATCTCAGGATAAATCCTGAGGGGATTTCACTGATCTTATCAGATCCAAAATATACAACTCTTCTTGCATAGGTCTTACTTTGTCTTGGTCTTAACCATCCAGTGTAAAAGTATAAAAACAAAGCATAAGAAGTAAAGCCATAGTGTTATGTTGAGCTATAGGGAACTCAGGTCAACAATTTCTGATACTGCCAGTCAAGTCAAGTGGAAAACCCAATACTATTATGGACTACTGGACTCTTTTAGAATATTTTGCTGAGTTAACACACCTATAATATTCAAATGATGGAACTAAACAAGAAAAGGTATACAGATGAATGTCCATTTTGTATCTGTGTATTCAAAATGGTTAGGGTAGATATATGGTTACATTCTCTTAATGAATAGAGGGATTTGTTCTAATAGTGTTTGTAAATAGGATATCATGTCTGCATCTTGTATAGCAAATAACCACTAGGAAGAGAATATGCAATGTGTTAATTATTGAAACTGTCATACCAATTTGATTTGAAACTGTCTCATTGCTATATGTCTCTCAATAAAATTATGGAAAAAAAAGCTACAACTCTTGTTGCATAGGTCTTGCTTTATCTTGGTCTTAACCAACCAGCAGAAAAGTATAAAAACGAAGTATAAGAAGTAAAGCCATGGTGTTATGTTGAGCTGTAGGGGACTCAGGTCAACAATTTCTGACATTGCCAGTCAAGCAGAAGACCCAATACTATTATGGAGTACTGGACTCTTAGAATATTTTGCTGAGTGGACATTAACTTTATATTTGTATAAAGGGGTCCAGGCATTTGTGCCTACTTGCTAATAAACTCCAAAATATTAAGATGTTGTCTTTTTCTGCAATGGAGTTTTTAGACTGCCTACAATTCATGACATCTTTTAATGCAGAAATCCATGATGCAACAGGCTTTCAAAGGAGACCTTAAGAAAAATGAATTGAGAAGGCAAAAAAAAGGTGAAGAGAGTCTGAAAAATATTCAGTTGTGTATTTTACAATTAGAGTGGTTAATGCCTCCTCTATGTTCACATTAATTTACTATTATACATTACATTATATTTGCTGTAGGAGCAGTATGAAAAGCTAGTAAAAGAGGAAAACAAGGACCTTCAGTTTTTTCTAGCACAGATCTTAGAAGTGTGTGGTACGCTGTGGGAGGATTCACTATTCCAGAGAGCCCCAGTGATGAGCACACAAAACCGCTCTGGGTCTTTGAACTGTGAGTTTTCTTTGGGACAAAGGAAAACAGACTGAGGACAGTGGTGGAGGACACAGGCCCTTGTGCTAGGCACAGTGTGTCTCTTTTTTTTTTCCTTCATATTTTAGGACAGGGTCTACAGGGTCTCACTGCATAGATGGGACTTGTAGTGATCCTCCTCTGTTCAGCTTCCCAAGTGCTGGGATTACAGGCGTACACCACCACGCCCCATGTCAATCACCTTCTCAATGTGCCCCAGGGGTGGGGCTGGCATGGCAGGCCAGGGATGGAATTCCCAGCCCCTGTGTCTGCCTAAGCAGGCGCTTTACTCTGCTGTGCTATTTGGCTGGCCCTCATAGTGTATCTCCTGAAGGAACCTCAGGATCTAATCTGTCAGGGACTCTTTCCAGCACCCAAGCCCCAACTCGCCTCCCTGGACCTAACATGCAGGAAGCCCTGTAATGTTAGGGAGCTTCTCAGGCACACAGGCAAAGACGGAACCATTCAAATTTATCAAGATCAATTAAAATCCAGACTTCTGGAGTCATCCACTTTGCATTTGAATCTGAGTTCCACCATCTTTTTACCTGTTTGACATTGAAAGAGTTACTTTCCTCTCTGCATCTCTGTCCCTCAGGTGTGGCATGGAGATGTGGATGGCCAGCAGCTCTGGTGGGAGTGTTTTGAGCATACAAAGGAAGCAATTCCTGCAGGTTTCCTTGCACAGTACTGTCTAAACATTCGATTTAGCTGTTATCACTAATAATATTATTTGCAAACATTCCATTCTGAGAATCTCAGATAAGCTTATGCTAAAGGAAAGGAGTGTATTTTCCATGTACGTCAGGGGCCCCTATGCAGCATTTTGAATTAATTTTTATTGAGTTGCAACACACATGCAGTAAAATGTATACATAGCTGAAACATAGAACTTGATGACTTTTAAAATATTTCTACACCTATGTAACCACTACCCAGGTCAAGAAATCAAGACTTTGCAGCACTCTGGAGGAGCCACCATTCTGTCTCCTGTCACTGTTATAGGTTGGCTTTGTCTGTTTTTATTTTTAATTTTATATAAATGGAATCATGCAGCACGTACCCGCTGGTGTCTGGCTTCTCTTACACATCATTATGTCTGAGAGACTCAATCAAGTCCCTGGACCCAGCATAGTATAGGATGTAAAGTCTAGCAGCCAGTCGCGCTCTTTGGAACAAATTGTCTAATATTGGAACACACTGCGGCAGGCCGGGGGAGGCAGGGCTGCTCCTTCCCGGAAATTCCCAGACTGTCCCTGCGAAGCTGGCAGGGCAGCCAGCAGAAGTTCCATGCCTGGTAAGGTGGTGAAGGGGACCATTCTCCAGGATACCCTTTGTTTCCCCCCAGCCATAAGTCAGCATCCACTTCCAGGGCAGCAGCTCTGCAGGGCTCTGCTGTGGCCTGGATGCCCACCTGCACTGTCTGTCCATGTGCGCACACGCCTGAGCTGCCGTCTGCCACTGCAGCCGCCTGAGCCAGACTTGACAACCTGCTTATGGAGTGAGGCTGAGAACTGGTTTCTAACACTGTATGCAGATGTGGGTTCACTAGGGCCTTCCTCCCCATTAAATACTCATTTGATAAAATTTGAAGCAGGTGGGAGGTGGGGAGATGTCAGCTTTCTTGGATGACCCTTGTAGGACTTTTAAAAGTATTTTATCCCGGGCATA